TTTTCAGATGGTGCAATAGTCTAAACTATTTTAATATTCTTGAAGAACAGTATAAAACAGAGTCATCCCGCGATACTCAACATTTATCCTGACTCATGGTCTGCTCAAAATAAAAGTAAATGTATAACTACATTAGATGAATTGCAAAGATACAATAATTCAATAAAATTAAACACATTTTTATTTATTATTTTTGGGCAAAACATTATGTAGGTATATGTTTCTTGTGCCTATTCACATTGTCATTTGTGGAATAAGTTTTGTGACAAATGTCACATTTGTATCTGATTTCACAGTGTGCCCACTGTTATGTCTTACTTGGGTTTGTTCCTTCGTAGTCAATTTTGAGTTGTTATCCTCTGTTAAAGAATTAGTTCGCTCTCTCGAAAATACTACAGTACGCTATTGAAACTTATTATTATAGGAATTGAATTTTAACGCAATGAATTAAAATTATATTAATACTTTTATTTTTTAGATAAAACGTAGGTACACACAGTAGTCGAGTATAAGACTATTTCACGACTGACTTATGCACTATGCATTATTCAATGGCGACGGACGTCGTCTTACAAAAGTGCTTACCCATCTAAATTCTACGTTACCTATATTATATTACTATATAAACAAGGGGTTAATAACACCACCAATGAATTTTAAAATATGATTTTTTGTTTAAAAGCTTTTGGTCTTTCCTTACATTTATCAATGACGCAAATGTAAGTCTTTACGTTTGAATGCCAAGTGCCAACACATGTTGTGACACTTGAGATTTGATAAATCCCTGTGTCTTGTCTTGCAAATATCACACTGGAAAGGTTTTTAACCAGCGTGAATCAATTTGTTCCTTTTCAGATGGCGCACAAGTTCAAAATGAGACAGGCTCTCGCCAAGGAACGGCAGGGTCGGATAGTAGCACAACCGATACCGACTCCTGTAGACTTGAAATAACTGATGACGACAGACGACAATTAAAGTCATACAAATCAATGCGAGGAGATCACAGAGGGTGATGCATGAGATTGAAGGGCTATTGTCGAGTAGAAGTATTGACGTCTGCTTAATACAAGAGCCAGCCACCGACTGTAAAGGGATCTATCTGTTCGACAGACGTCCGTACAGGGTAGTAGCGAGCGGGGTCGGGCCTAAAGCCGCCATCGTCGTCGCTAACCCCGCAGTCGGCATCCTGACTTTGCAGCATCTCAGTACCCCCCATATTTCCGTAGCCGTGTTCACTGTTGGAAATCGCCGCTTAGTGCTGATATCAGCATACTTTCAATTTTTGGAACCAACACAGACACATGTTGACGCTCTCGAATCCGTACTGGACTCGGTAAGCGGCAACGTGTTAGTCTGCGCGGACGTGAACGCACGGTCTACGCTTTGGCACGAACGCGGAGAGATGGTCGTGGAACTCATAGGTCGGAAAAACCTTACCGTAAATAACCTAGCGGGCAGTGTGAATACATTTATAAATCGTGGGTCTGCGTGCTTGGACGTGACCCTTACGTCTTATGGCGTGAATGTGGCGGACTGGACCGCAGTCCACAATTTGACGTCGAGCGATCATGCGATCATAAGCTTGCACAGAACTGTGCGCGCCTGAATGACAGGACAGATCCTTTCGTAAAATACGACAGGAGTAAAACGAATTGGAATGAATTCCGTAAGTCCTTAAAACTCAGAGTAAGCGCGTGGATGACTGATTTGGAAAGTCCGGATCTTGATACTAGCACTGCAGCACTCCTATATAATTACAATTTAATAACAAATATAATAACAATTTCAACGGACACGCCATAAATCGTTGGCATTGCGCTAGCCCAGCATCATCTTACCAGATCTACGTCTACGTTAATGACAATTCCAATTATTAGAAGCTAATACTATGTATAGGTACTTAATATGACATATAGGATTTAATACTCATAATACACAATTATTGAATTTCGGGTACTAAAATTTAGTAGAAATAATATTTACAGTGCCTTTGTCGGAAAGTCAGTTGTTTCAGCTGAGCCTAAAAACAGGACGACGCCGAACATGCCAACGAACCGTTCTAATTTCAAATTAAACCTTCCACACGGTCCGATAATGCGATGCTGATTTACTTAATTCAAATGTTATTTGTGAATTGTGTTATTTTTCCTATGTTTTAATAACAAATTTCGGGAACACGACGATAGTATAAAATCGAAATAGCGGAAAATACAATTTTGAATAAAATGTTTTTTTTTTTTATGTTATTTAAAATGTATATTATATTATATCAACATATTTACAGTTAATTGCCCTGCCATATTTGATATTTATAATATTATAATACACAAGTCTGCGTAGGCATGAACAAATTATGACTAGTTGGTTTGATAATTTGCATTTAAAATCTATTAAAAAAATTTTCTTTTTCATCAAAGCATTTTGACATTTCGTCTTCTCAGTTAAGACCAGACACAATTAGGACACGGAATAAAATGTTTACAAGAATGAGCATCGCACGACACGATTGTAAAAATAATAAAGACAAAAGTCGACGTCCAGTCGGCCCGCAACCAACTGCGGAAGTGCCGACAAACAAAAGTTTCATAGAAGACGGTCGACCACACTAGCGCCACGAGCGGTTTAAAACTCACACAACAAGTTGCATGCATTTTTTGCATTACAAAGCGTTAGAAACTAGTGCTCAGGTGAGCAACTTGCATACTATTTATGTGTGGTGCATGGGGACCAATCATTAAAATCACTCGTTGCGTTGTTCAGTCATTACCAAAAAATAAGGTTTAATAGTAGATACCTATTCAAACACCTATAATGCAACCCAAACTTCCACAGTATTGTGTATCTATGAATGGAATATTATGGTAACTTAGATTAATATGGCCACAATTTCTGGTTGTAAAAATGTTTCCAAAATTAGCTAGGTCCAAATAAATTTATTGTCGTAGGTGTAGTGTTCAAGGATGATCAAAAAAAAAAAAACATGGGTGGTTGGTGGGATTTGTAATCTTCGAAATTACCGACTAGAATTTAAAATTCAACATTTTTGTTAACTATAACGTTATTTTTAGTTACATACTATAAATTTATAATTTCTTTATTACCTTTTATGTTTCAATTTTTAGTTTGGATTAAATTTGAAGTTGAAACTTGGAATCGATATTAGTTCTAAAATTGGGCACTTGTTAGCTTTGGAAAAAGGGCTCCTTGAATTTAAGAAATCCAATATTAACTTGTCTACTCTGCATCATTTGTAGCTTCGCTGTTCTTAAATTGTTGAAAGCTATTAATGTGATAAACACTTCAGTGCACTGGCTGTTGGTGTACTTAATAATTGAGCAGCAAGTTTAATTTTTTATTTTATTTTTCTTCCACCCTATGAGTGCACCTATTAATTTGTTTGCAAATTTTAAACCCAACTTAGTTTGTGATTTATGCTAATTTTCAAAATAATTCCACCGAATTAACCTACTAGGCGACTTAAGTACTTAAAACAAGTTGAGCGCCATACAGCCGCCAGCGACCACAAGAACATGGTTATGAATCGAGAATTTTTGGCCGCCAGCTATAGTAACCTGTGAGGAACTCTCATGGCCTTAAAGACCGCCGGCTGCCGCATTTCTAATGTTCTTTTGTATAGGAATACATTTGTTGGCGGTGTACATAGTAATGATCTTTATAATTATTTCATGGCTTAGAGCTGAAAATTACACTTTGATTGATATATTATTTAACCTTGTACAAGGTTATTTCGTCGATATATTGTTGGTCAAATAAGTACCTACAGATATTTCAATAATAATTATTATTTTTATTTTGTATCATATTTTAATACAGAAAACGTCTGATCAATGACGCAAATGTAAGGCCTTATGTTTGAATGCCAAGTGCCAACACATGTTGTGACACTTGAGATTTGATAAATCCCTGTGTCTTGTCTTGCAAATATCACAATGGAAAGGTTTTTCACCAGCGTGAATTAATTTGTTCCTTTTCAGATGGTGCAATAGTCTAAACTATTTTAATATTCTTGAAGAACAGTATAAAACAGAGTCATCCCGCGATACTCAACATTTATCCTGACTCATGGTCTGCTCAAAATAAAAGTAAATGTATAACTACATTAGATGAATTGCAAAGATACAATAATTCAATAAAATTAAACACATTTTTATTTATTATTTTTGGGCAAAACATTATGTAGGTATATGTTTCTTGTGCCTATTCACATTGTCATTTGTGGAATAAGTTTTGTGACAAATGTCACATTTGTATCTGATTTCACAGTGTGCCCACTGTTATGTCTTACTTGGGTTTGTTCCTTCGTAGTCAATTTTGAGTTGTTATCCTCTGTTAAAGAATTAGTTCGCTCTCTCGAAAATACTACAGTACGCTATTGAAACTTATTATTATAGGAATTGAATTTTAACGCAATGAATTAAAATTATATTAATACTTTTATTTTTTAGATAAAACGTAGGTACACACAGTAGTCGAGTATAAGACTATTTCACGACTGACTTATGCACTATGCATTATTCAATGGCGACGGACGTCGTCTTACAAAAGTGCTTACCCATCTAAATTCTACGTTACCTATATTATATTACTATATAAACAAGGGGTTAATAACACCACCAATGAATTTTAAAATATGATTTTTTGTTTAAAAGCTTTTGGTCTTTCCTTACATTTATCAATGACGCAAATGTAAGTCTTTACGTTTGAATGCCAAGTGCCAACACATGTTGTGACACTTGAGATTTGATAAATCCCTGTGTCTTGTCTTGCAAATATCACACTGGAAAGGTTTTTAACCAGCGTGAATCAATTTGTTCCTTTTCAGATGGCGCACAAGTTCAAAATGAGACAGGCTCTCGCCAAGGAACGGCAGGGTCGGATAGTAGCACAACCGATACCGACTCCTGTAGACTTGAAATAACTGGTGACGACAGACGACAATTAAAGTCATACAAATCAATGCGAGGAGATCACAGAGGGTGATGCATGAGATTGAAGGGCTATTGTCGAGTAGAAGTATTGACGTCTGCTTAATACAAGAGCCAGCCACCGACTGTAAAGGGATCTATCTGTTCGACAGACGTCCGTACAGGGTAGTAGCGAGCGGGGTCGGGCCTAAAACCGCCATCGTCGTCGCGAACCCCGCAGTCGGCATCCTGAGTTTGCAGCATCTCAGTACCCCCCATATTTCCGTAGCCGTGTTCACTGTTGGAAATCTCCGCTTAGTGCTGATATCAGCATACTTTCAATTTTCGGAACCAACACAGACACATGTTGACGATTTGATGAATGGAATATTATGGTAACTTAGATTAATATGGCCACAATTTCTGGTTGTAAAAATGTTTCCAAAATTAGCTAGGTCCAAATAAATTTATTGTCGTAGGTGTAGTGTTCAAGGATGATCAAAAAAAAAAAAAACATGGGTGGTTGGTGGGATTTGTAATCTTCGAAATTACCGACTAGAATTTAAAATTCAACATTTTTGTTAACTATAACGTTATTTTTAGTTACATACTATAAATTTATAATTTCTTTATTACCTTTTATGTTTCAATTTTTAGTTTGGATTAAATTTGAAGTTGAAAATTGGAATCGATATTAGATCTAAAATTGGGCACTTGTTAGCTTTGGAAAAAGGGCTCCTTGAATTTAAGAAATCCAATATTAACTAGTCTACTCTGCATCATTTGTAGCTTCGCTGTTCTTAAATTGTTGAAAGCTATTAATGTGATAAACACTTCAGTGCACTGGCTGTTGGTGTAATTAAGAATTGAGCAGCAAATTTAATTTTTTATTTTATTTTTCTTCCACCCTATGAGTGCACCTATTAATTTGTTTGCAAATTTTAAACCCAACTTAGTTTGTGATTTATGCTAATTTTCAAAATAATTCCACCGAATTAACCTACTAGGCGACTTAAGTACTTAAAACAAGTTGAGCGCCATACAGCCAACACATGTTGTGACACTTGAGATTTGATAAATCCCTGTGTCTTGTCTTGCAAATATCACACTGGAAAGGTTTTTATCCAGCGTGAATCAATTTGTTCCTTTTCAGATGGCGCACAAGTTCAAAATGAGACAGGCTCTCGCCAAGGAACGGCAGGGTCGGATAGTAGCACAACCGATACCGACTCCTGTAGACTTGAAATAACTGATGACGACAGACGACAATTAAAGTCATACAAATCAATGCGAGGAGATCACAGAGGGTGATGCATGAGATTGAAGGGCTATTGTCGAGTAGAAGTATTGACGTCTGCTTAATACAAGAGCCAGCCACCGACTGTAAAGGGATCTATCTGTTCGACAGACGTCCGTACAGGGTAGTAGCGAGCGGGGTCGGGCCTAAAGCCGCCATCGTCGTCGCTAACCCCGCAGTCGGCATCCTGACTTTGCAGCATCTCAGTACCCCCCATATTTCCGTAGCCGTGTTCACTGTTGGAAATCGCCGCTTAGTGCTGATATCAGCATACTTTCAATTTTTGGAACCAACACAGACACATGTTGACGCTCTCGAATCCGTACTGGACTCGGTAAGCGGCAACGTGTTAGTCTGCGCGGACGTGAACGCACGGTCTACGCTTTGGCACGAACGCGGAGAGATGGTCGTGGAACTCATAGGTCGGAAAAACCTTACCGTAAATAACCTAGCGGGCAGTGTGAATACATTTATAAATCGTGGGTCTGCGTGCTTGGACGTGACCCTTACGTCTTATGGCGTGAATGTGGCGGACTGGACCGCAGTCCACAATTTGACGTCGAGCGATCATGCGATCATAAGCTTGCACAGAACTGTGCGCGCCTGAATGACAGGACAGATCCTTTCGTAAAATACGACTGGAGTAAAACGAATTGGAATGAATTCCGTAAGTCCTTAAAACTCAGAGTAAGCGCGTGGATGACTGATTTGGAAAGTCCGGATCTTGATACTAGCACTGCAGCACTCCTATATAATTACAATTTAATAACAAATTTAATAACAATTTCAACGGACACGCCATAATTCGTTGGCATTGCGCTAGCCCAGCATCATCTTACCAGATCTACGTCTACGTTAATGACAATTCCAATTATTAGAAGCTAATACTATATATAGGTACTTAATATGACATATATGATTTAATACTCATAATACACAATTATTGAATTTCGGGTACTAAAATTTAGTAGAAATAATATTTACTGTGCCTTTAGCGGACAGTCAGTTGTTTCAGTTGAGCCTAAAAACAGGACGACGCCGAACATGCCAACGAACCGTTCTAATTTCAAATTAAACCTTCCACACGGTCCGATAATGCGATGCTGATTTACTTAATTCAAATGTTATTTGTGAATTGTGTTATTTTTCCTATGTTTTAATAACAAATTTCGGGAACACGACGATGATATAAAATCGAAATAGCGGAAAATACAATTTTGAATAAAATGTTTTTTTTTTTTATGTTATTTAAAATGTATATTATATTATATCAACATATTTACAGTTAATTGCCCTGCCATATTTGATATTTATAATATTATAATACACAAGTCTGCGTAGGCATGAACAAATTATGACTAGTTGGTTTGATAATTTGCATTTAAAATCTATTAAAAAAATTTTCTTTTTCATCAAAGCATTTTGACATTTCGTCTTCTCAGTTAAGACCAGACACAATTAGGACACGGAATAAAATGTTTACAAGAATGAGCATCGCACGACACGATTGTAAAAATAATAAAGACAAAAGTCGACGTTCAGTCGGCCCGCAACCAACTGCGGAAGTGCCGACAAACAAAAGTTTCATAGAAGACGGTCGACCACACTAGCGCCACGAGCGGTTTAAAACTCACACAACAAGTTGCATGCATTTTTTGCATTACAAAGCGTTAGAAACTAGTGCTCAGGTGAGCAACTTGCATACTATTTATGTGTGGTGCATGGGGACCAATCATTAAAATCACTCGTTGCGTTGTTCAGTCATTACCAAAAAATAAGGTTTAATAGTAGATACCTATTCAAACACCTATAATGCAACCCAAACTTCCACAGTATTGTGTATCTATGAATGGAATATTATGGTAACTTAGATTAATATGGCCACAATTTCTGGTTGTAAAAATGTTTCCAAAATTAGCTAGGTTCAAATAAATTTATTGTCGTAGGTGTAGTGTTCAAGGATGATCAAAAAAAAAAAAACATGGGTGGTTGGTGGGATTTGTAATCTTCGAAATTACCGACTAGAATTTAAAATTCAACATTTTTGTTAACTATAACGTTATTTTTAGTTACATACTATAAATTTATAATTTCTTTATTACCTTTTATGTTTCAATTTTTAGTATGGATTAAATTTGAAGTTGAAACTTGGAATCGATATTAGTTCTAAAATTGGGCACTTGTTAGCTTTGGAAAAAGGGCTCCTTGAATTTAAGAAATCCAATATTAACTTGTCTACTCTGCATCATTTGTAGCTTCGCTGTTCTTAAATTGTTGAAAGCTATTAATGTGATAAACACTTCAGTGCACTGGCTGTTGGTGTACTTAATAATTGAGCAGCAAGTTTAATTTTTTATTTTATTTTTCTTCCACCCTATGAGTGCACCTATTAATTTGTTTGCAAATTTTAAACCCAACTTAGTTTGTGATTTATGCTAATTTTCAAAATAATTCCACCGAATTAACCTACTAGGCGACTTAAGTACTTAAAACAAGTTGAGCGCCATACAGCCGCCAGCGACCACAAGAACATGGTTATGAATCGAGAATTTTTGGCCGCCAGCTATAGTAACCTGTGAGGAACTCTCATGGCCTTAAAGACCGCCGGCTGCCGCATTTCTAATGTTCTTTTGTATAGGAATACATTTGTTGGCGGTGTACATAGTAATGATCTTTATAATTATTTCATGGCTTAGAGCTGAAAATTACACTTTGATTGATATATTATTTAACCTTGTACAAGGTTATTTCGTCGACATATTGTTGGTCAAATAAGTACCTACAGATATTTCAATAATAATAATTATTTTTATTTTGTATCATATTTTAATACAGAAAACGTCTGATCAATGACGCAAATGTAAGGCCTTATGTTTGAATGCCAAGTGCCAACACATGTTGTGACACTTGAGATTTGATAAATCCCTGTGTCTTGTCTTGCAAATATCACAATGGAAAGGTTTTTCACCAGCGTGAATTAATTTGTTCCTTTTCAGATGGTGCAATAGTCTAAACTATTTTAATATTCTTGAAGAACAGTATAAAACAGAGTCATCCCACGATACTCAACATTTATCCTGACTCATGGTCTGCTCAAAATAAAAGTAAATGTATAACTACATTAGATGAATTGCAAAGATACAATAATTCAATAAAATTAAACACATTTGTATTTATTATTTTTGGGCAAAACATTATGTAGGTATATGTTTCTTGTGCCTATTCACATTGTCATTTGTGGAATAAGTTTTGTGACAAATGTCACATTTGTATCTGATTTCACAGTGTGCCCACTGTTATGTCTTACTTGGGTTTGTTCCTTCGTAGTCAATTTTGAGTTGTTATCCTCTGTTAAAGAATTAGTTCGCTCTCTCGAAAATACTACAGTACGCTATTGAAACTTATTATTATAGGAATTGAATTTTAACGCAATGAATTAAAATTATATTAATACTTTTATTTTTTAGATAAAACGTAGGTACACACAGTAGTCGAGTATAAGACTATTTCACGACTGACTTATGCACTATGCATTATTCAATGGCGACGGACGTCGTCTTACAAAAGTGCTTACCCATCTAAATTCTACGTTACCTATATTATATTACTATATAAACAAGGGGTTAATAACACCACCAATGAATTTTAAAATATGATTTTTTGTTTAAAAGCTTTTGGTCTTTCCTTACATTTATCAATGACGCAAATGTAAGTCTTTACGTTTGAATGCCAAGTGCCAACACATGTTGTGACACTTGAGATTTGATAAATCCCTGTGTCTTGTCTTGCAAATATCACACTGGAAAGGTTTTTAACCAGCGTGAATCAATTTGTTCCTTTTCAGATGGCGCACAAGTTCAAAATGAGACAGGCTCTCGCCAAGGAACGGCAGGGTCGGATAGTAGCACAACCGATACCGACTCCTGTAGACTTGAAATAACTGGTGACGACAGACGACAATTAAAGTCATACAAATCAATGCGAGGAGATCACAGAGGGTGATGCATGAGATTGAAGGGCTATTGTCGAGTAGAAGTATTGACGTCTGCTTAATACAAGAGCCAGCCACCGACTGTAAAGGGATCTATCTGTTCGACAGACGTCCGTACAGGGTAGTAGCGAGCGGGGTCGGGCCTAAAGCCGCCATCGTCGTCGCTAACCCCGCAGTCGGCATCCTGACTTTGCAGCATCTCAGTACCCCCCATATTTCCGTAGCCGTGTTCACTGTTGGAAATCGCCGCTTAGTGCTGATATCAGCATACTTTCAATTTTTGGAACCAACACAGACACATGTTGACGCTCTCGAATCCGTACTGGACTCGGTAAGCGGCAACGTGTTAGTCTGCGCGGACGTGAACGCACGGTCTACGCTTTGGCACGAACGCGGAGAGATGGTCGTGGAACTCATAGGTCGGAAAAACCTTACCGTAAATAACCTAGCGGGCAGTGTGAATACATTTATAAATCGTGGGTCTGCGTGCTTGGACGTGACCCTTACGTCTTATGGCGTGAATGTGGCGGACTGGACCGCAGTCCACAATTTGACGTCGAGCGATCATGCGATCATAAGCTTGCACAGAACTGTGCGCGCCTGAATGACAGGACAGATCCTTTCGTAAAATACGACTGGAGTAAAACGAATTGGAATGAATTCCGTAAGTCCTTAAAACTCAGAGTAAGCGCGTGGATGACTGATTTGGAAAGTCCGGATCTTGATACTAGCACTGCAGCACTCCTATATAATTACAATTTAATAACAAATTTAATAACAATTTCAACGGACACGCCATAATTCGTTGGCATTGCGCTAGCCCAGCATCATCTTACCAGATCTACGTCTACGTTAATGACAATTCCAATTATTAGAAGCTAATACTATATATAGGTACTTAATATGACATATATGATTTAATACTCATAATACACAATTATTGAATTTCGGGTACTAAAATTTAGTAGAAATAATATTTACTGTGCCTTTAGCGGACAGTCAGTTGTTTCAGTTGAGCCTAAAAACAGGACGACGCCGAACATGCCAACGAACCGTTCTAATTTCAAATTAAACCTTCCACACGGTCCGATAATGCGATGCTGATTTACTTAATTCAAATGTTATTTGTGAATTGTGTTATTTTTCCTATGTTTTAATAACAAATTTCGGGAACACGACGATGATATAAAATCGAAATAGCGGAAAATACAATTTTGAATAAAATGTTTTTTTTTTTTATGTTATTTAAAATGTATATTATATTATATCAACATATTTACAGTTAATTGCCCTGCCATATTTGATATTTATAATATTATAATACACAAGTCTGCGTAGGCATGAACAAATTATGACTAGTTGGTTTGATAATTTGCATTTAAAATCTATTAAAAAAATTTTCTTTTTCATCAAAGCATTTTGACATTTCGTCTTCTCAGTTAAGACCAGACACAATTAGGACACGGAATAAAATGTTTACAAGAATGAGCATCGCACGACACGATTGTAAAAATAATAAAGACAAAAGTCGACGTTCAGTCGGCCCGCAACCAACTGCGGAAGTGCCGACAAACAAAAGTTTCATAGAAGACGGTCGACCACACTAGCGCCACGAGCGGTTTAAAACTCACACAACAAGTTGCATGCATATTTTGCATTACAAAGCGTTAGAAACTAGTGCTCAGGTGAGCAACTTGCATACTATTTATGTGTGGTGCATGGGGACCAATCATTAAAATCACTCGTTGCGTTGTTCAGTCATTACCAAAAAATAAGGTTTAATAGTAGATACCTATTCAAACACCTATAATGCAACCCAAACTTCCACAGTATTGTGTATCTATGAATGGAATATTATGGTAACTTAGATTAATATGGCCACAATTTCTGGTTGTAAAAATGTTTCCAAAATTAGCTAGGTTCAAATAAATTTATTGTCGTAGGTGTAGTGTTCAAGGATGATCAAAAAAAAAAAACATGGGTGGTTGGTGGGATTTGTAATCTTCGAAATTACCGACTAGAATTTAAAATTCAACATTTTTGTTAACTATAACGTTATTTTTAGTTACATACTATAAATTTATAATTTCTTTATTACCTTTTATGTTTCAATTTTTAGTATGGATTAAATTTGAAGTTGAAACTTGGAATCGATATTAGTTCTAAAATTGGGCACTTGTTAGCTTTGGAAAAAGGGCTCCTTGAATTTAAGAAATCCAATATTAACTTGTCTACTCTGCATCATTTGTAGCTTCGCTGTTCTTAAATTGTTGAAAGCTATTAATGTGATAAACACTTCAGTGCACTGGCTGTTGGTGTACTTAATAATTGAGCAGCAAGTTTAATTTTTTATTTTATTTTTCTTCCACCCTATGAGTGCACCTATTAATTTGTTTGCAAATTTTAAACCCAACTTAGTTTGTGATTTATGCTAATTTTCAAAATAATTCCACCGAATTAACCTACTAGGCGACTTAAGTACTTAAAACAAGTTGAGCGCCATACAGCCGCCAGCGACCACAAGAACATGGTTATGAATCGAGAATTTTTGGCCGCCAGCTATAGTAACCTGTGAGGAACTCTCATGGCCTTAAAGACCGCCGGCTGCCGCATTTCTAATGTTCTTTTGTATAGGAATACATTTGTTGGCGGTGTACATAGTAATGATCTTTATAATTATTTCATGGCTTAGAGCTGAAAATTACACTTTGATTGATATATTATTTAACCTTGTACAAGGTTATTTCGTCGACATATTGTTGGTCAAATAAGTACCTACAGATATTTCAATAATAATAATTATTTTTATTTTGTATCATATTTTAATACAGAAAACGTCTGATCAATGACGCAAATGTAAGGCCTTATGTTTGAATGCCAAGTGCCAACACATGTTGTGACACTTGAGATTTGATAAATCCCTGTGTCTTGTCTTGCAAATATCACAATGGAAAGGTTTTTCACCAGCGTGAATTAATTTGTTCCTTTTCAGATGGTGCAATAGTCTAAACTATTTTAATATTCTTGAAGAACAGTATAAAACAGAGTCATCCCACGATACTCAACATTTATCCTGACTCATGGTCTGCTCAAAATAAAAGTAAATGTATAACTACATTAGATGAATTGCAAAGATACAATAATTCAATAAAATTAAACACATTTGTATTTATTATTTTTGGGCAAAACATTATGTAGGTATATGTTTCTTGTGCCTATTCACATTGTCATTTGTGGAATAAGTTTTGTGACAAATGTCACATTTGTATCTGATTTCACAGTGTGCCCACTGTTATGTCTTACTTGGGTTTGTTCCTTCGTAGTCAATTTTGAGTTGTTATCCTCTGTTAAAGAATTAGTTCGCTCTCTCGAAAATACTACAGTACGCTATTGAAACTTATTATTATAGGAATTGAATTTTAACGCAATGAATTAAAATTATATTAATACTTTTATTTTTTAGATAAAACGTAGGTACACACAGTAGTCGAGTATAAGACTATTTCACGACTGACTTATGCACTATGCATTATTCAATGGCGGCGGACGTCGTCTTACAAAAGTGCTTACCCATCTAAATTCTACGTTACCTATATTATATTACTATATAAACAAGGGGTTAATAACACCACCAATGAATTTTAAAATATGATTTTTTGTTTAAAAGCTTTTGGTCTTTCCTTACATTTATCAATGACGCAAATGTAAGTCTTTATGTTTGAATGCCAAGTGCCAACACATGTTGTGACACTTGAGATTTGATAAATCCCTGTGTCTTGTCTTGCAAATATCACACTGGAAAGGTTTTTAACCAGCGTGAATCAATTTGTTCCTTTTCAGATGGCGCACAAGTTCAAAATGAGACAGGCTCTCGCCAAGGAACGGCAGGGTCGGATAGTAGCACAACCGATACCGACTCCTGTAGACTTGAAATAACTGGTGACGACAGACGACAATTAAAGTCATACAAATCAATGCGAGGAGATCACAGAGGGTGATGCATGAGATTGAAGGGCTATTGTCGAGTAGAAGTATTGACGTCTGCTTAATACAAGAGCCAGCCACCGACTGTAAAGGGATCTATCTGTTCGACAGACGTCCGTACAGGGTAGTAGCGAGCGGGGTCGGGCCTAAAGCCGCCATCGTCGTCGCTAACCCCGCAGTCGGCATCCTGACTTTGCAGCATCTCAGTACCCCCCATATTTCCGTAGCCGTGTTCACTGTTGGAAATCGCCGCTTAGTGCTGATATCAGCATACTTTCAATTTTTGGAACCAACACAGACACATGTTGACGCTCTCGAATCCGTACTGGACTCGGTAAGCGGCAACGTGTTAGTCTGCGCGGACGTGAACGCACGGTCTACGCTTTGGCACGACCGTCTCTCGGACGACCGCGGAGAGATGGTCGTGGAACTCATAGGTCGTAAAAACCTTACCGTAAATAACCTAGCGGGCAGTGTGAATACATTTATAAATCGTGGGTCTGCGTGCTTGGACGTGACCCTTACGTCTTATGGCGTGAATGTGGCGGACTGGACCGCAGTCCACAATTTGACGTCGAGCGATCATGCGATCATAAGCTTGCACAGAACTGTGCGCGCCTGAATGACAGGACAGATCCTTTCGTAAAATACGACTGGAGTAAAACGAATTGGAATGAATTCCGTAAGTCCTTAAAACTCAGAGTAAGCGCGTGGATGACTGATTTGGAAAGTCCGGATCTTGATACTAGCACTGCAGCACTCCTATATAATTACAATTTAATAACAAATATAATAACAATTTCAACGGACACGCCATAAATCGTTGGCATTGCGCTAGCCCAGCATCATCTTACCAGATCTACGTCTACGTTAATGACAATTCCAATTATTAGAAGCTAATACTATGTATAGGTACTTAATATGACATATATGATTTAATACTCATAATACACAATTATTGAATTTCGGGTACTAAAATTTAGTAGAAATAATATTTACTGTGCCTTTAGCGGACAGTCAGTTGTTTCAGTTGAGCCTAAAAACAGGACGACGCCGAACATGCCAACGAACCGTTCTAATTTCAAATTAAACCTTCCACACGGTCCGATAATGCGATGCTGATTTACTTAATTCAAATGTTATTTGTGAATTGTGTTATTTTTCCTATGTTTTAATAACAAATTTCGGGAACACGACGATAGTATAAAATCGAAATAGCGGAAAATACAATTTTGAATAAAATGTTTTTTTTTTTTATGTTATTTAAAATGTATATTATATTATATCAACATATTTACAGTTAATTGCCCTGCCATATTTGATATTTATAATATTATAATACACAAGTCTGCGTAGGCATGAACAAATTATGACTAGTTGGTTTGATAATTTGCATTTAAAATCTATTAAAAAAATTTTCTTTTTCATCAAAGCATTTTGACATTTCGTCTTCTCAGTTAAGACCAGACACAATTAGGACACGGAATAAAATGTTTACAAGAATGAGCATCGCACGACACGATTGTAAAAATAATAAAGACAAAAGTCGACGTTCAGTCGGCCCGCAACCAACTGCGGAAGTGCCGACAAACAAAAGTTTCATAGAAGACGGTCGACCACACTAGCGCCACGAGCGGTTTAAAACTCACACAACAAGTTGCATGCATATTTTGCATTACAAAGCGTTAGAAACTAGTGCTCAGGTGAGCAACTTGCATACTATTTATGTGTGGTGCATGGGGACCAATCATTAAAATCACTCGTTGCGTTGTTCAGTCATTACCAAAAAATAAGGTTTAATAGTAGATACCTATTCAAACACCTATAATGCAACCCAAACTTCCACAGTATTGTGTATCTATGAATGGAATATTATGGTAACTTAGATTAATATGGCCACAATTTCTGGTTGTAAAAATGTTTCCAAAATTAGCTAGGTTCAAATAAATTTATTGTCGTAGGTGTAGTGTTCAAGGATGATCAAAAAAAAAAAAACATGGGTGGTTGGTGGGATTTGTAATCTTCGAAATTACCGACTAGAATTTAAAATTCAACATTTTTGTTAACTATAACGTTATTTTTAGTTACATACTATAAATTTATAATTTCTTTATTACCTTTTATGTTTCAATTTTTAGTTTGGATTAAATTTGAAGTTGAAACTTGGAATCGATATTAGTTCTAAAATTGGGCACTTGTTAGCTTTGGAAAAAGGGCTCCTTGAATTTAAGAAATCCAATATTAACTTGTCTACTCTGCATCATTTGTAGCTTCGCTGTTCTTAAATTGTTGAAAGCTATTAATGTGATAAACACTTCAGTGCACTGGCTGTTGGTGTACTTAATAATTGAGCAGCAAGTTTAATTTTTATTTTATTTTTCTTCCACCCTATGAGTGCACCTATTAATTTGTTTGCAAATTTTAAACCCAACTTAGTTTGTGATTTATGCTAATTTTCAAAATAATTCCACCGAATTAACCTACTAGGCGACTTAAGTACTTAAAACAAGTTGAGCGCCATACAGCCGCCAGCGACCACAAGAACATGGTTATGAATCGAGAATTTTTGGCCGCCAGCTATAGTAACCTGTGAGGAACTCTCATGGCCTTAAAGACCGCCGGCTGCCGCATTTCTAATGTTCTTTTGTATAGGAATACATTTGTTGGCGGTGTACATAGTAATGATCTTTATAATTATTTCATGGCTTAGAGCTGAAAATTACACTTTGAAGGATATATTATTTAACCTTGTACAAGGTTATTTCGTCGATATATTGTTGGTCAAATAAGTACCTACAGATATTTCAATAATAATTATTATTTTTATTTTGTATCATATTTTAATACAGAAAACGTCTATAGAATACATTTTTTTTATTCAATAATGTAACGTACCAACCACTCAACTCAATATTGATGGTATTTTGAATTAAATAACAAGTTGATTTTATAATGATAGTTCAGTTGTATTTATTTAACACGTAAAATAGACTAAGTCCAAATAATAAAATTATAAAATTGTGGTAAACGGGATGTGACTTAGTATCGACCTCGTGGCTGTTCTGCTATAGTGCTCGTCGTCTAGGCTGGTGTTCGTCTGATGTACACTTGTCCATCGACGTATTTCGTCGGTTTTCCTATTAGATCCCTCCTATGGCATTTTTAGTATAAAAATGGTACATAGCCGCGTACACCTGACGTCATTTCGGCGTCCTCTACGAAATAATGTTAATTGGGGATTATATGTTTTCAAAGTTATCTATTTTTTTTGTTTACGGCTTTTTCGTCTTTCCTAGAATATGGATAATGTGCGCGTATACCTATCAGGGTTCGCGCTGTATCATTAATTAGTTCTGTGCTCTTATCGATGTGGCTGCCCGGACGCGTATTTACGGATGCTACTCGAGACTGGCCAATAGATCCCAAATTCATTTAGGGTTCGGAAAACAAATTTATTTTACGGACACTACTCGAGTCTGGCCACTATGTAATATACCGCTATACTCAAATAAAGACTCATAAAGTTCAATATGAATAATGTAATTTACCGCTATACCTACTATGAATTTATCTAAATAAATTTATTATTTAAATTTTATTCTAATTTTGTTGATAGGTTAAAAATATGTAAAAACATTATTATTAACAATGTATTTGCGACTGTATCTTATTGACAAAAAAATTAATGTATAATCTAATATGTAGAATGTAGATATATTTTATAGCTACAGCTAGGAAAGTGTCAGACTATTCAGCTTAATGTTATTTTTTGGACTTACAATAATTTTAATAATGTTCATATACTCGTATTATTTAAATGTCTGTATTTTTTTTTCTACAATATCTACATCCTTTCCTAAGCAATCAGTATTTAAACTAGAAAGCAAGAATATTAAATAATAGATAATAATATAAATAAAAAAGCGGGTAAGTGGATGTTGCTCTGCTGTACAGTAGGTTACTAAGAGTCACTGTTTAATGGAAGTTATTAATTTTGAATTCAATGATATGATATTATTGTATAAGAAAAACGTTTCCGAGTGGAGACGGTATGTCAGTCTGGGTAAAAGAACATAAATATTAAACATTTCGTCCAAATTTGAATTTGAAATGTCTGTAAAAAAAAACTGTGTTTATGTATTTTTTCTAATTTTGTTGATAGGTTAAAAATATGTAAAAACATTATTATTAACAATGTATTTGCGACTGTATCTTATTGACAATAAAAAAAAAAAAATTATAAGGATTAATAAAAAAAATTAACGTATAATCTAATATGTAGAATGTAGATAAATTTTATAGCTACAGTTAGGAAAGTGTCAGACTATTCAGTTTACCTAATGTTATTTTTTGGATTTACAATAATTTTAATACCTGAAGAACATACTAATTAAACATTTCGTCCAAATTTGAATTTAAAATGTCTGTAAAAAAAAACTGTGTTTATGTATTTTTTAGTTTTTTTGGTAACAGTATGAACTATTTATGAGAATCTTTGTTTTAAATGTTCAATCCTTAGTTATAATAAGTAATAACTGAACATTTAAAATTGTTTTAATTACAGTGATTGATAATTTTAGATATGTTGATAAATGTTGTCAAAATTTGAACTTCAAATGCATATAAAAAAAATTGTGCCAATGTATTTTTAATATTTTACGATTGTTATTATAACAATATATCAGGAGTCTTGTATTAAATTTTCAATCTTTTTCGCCCAACAAATAAATTTTTATTGGTATTTATAGAGAAAAAAAACTAAAAATATTGAAAACTGACAATGTCCGTAAACAGCTCAAAAAGAGTCAAATTATTTTGAAAATTGAATGGTGTATAGAAAATGCTAATATAAACATTCAGTAAAATTTTCAAGTATCTACAGTCATTCGTTATTTAATTACAACAAAATAAGAAAATCGTTACATGAGAAATCGAGCGAATATCAAACGTTGTAAAAATATGAATTTCAAACGCTCATAAAAATTTAATTTGACTTCCTTCTAGAATTTTTTTTTTTTAGCAATGATGGAAAAACTTATGAGGAATCTTGTATTACATTTTAAAATCTTAGAATTTAAAAGAAAATTTTTTATGAATTTCTAACTTAAAATAATTTGCAAATTTTCGTCATTTTTAAGTATTTTGTCAATATTTGAACTTTAAATGCTTATAAAAAAAAATTGTAACCAGGGATTTTTAATTTTTCTCTTCTACCTTTAAAACAATATACTAGGAGCTTTCTATTAAATTGTTAAGCTTTTATAACCTACAGATAAAATTTTATTGATATTTAAAGAAAAAAAACTAAAAAAAGTAGAAAATGAAAATGTCCGTAAATAGCTCAAAATAAGTCAAAATAATTGGAAAATTGTATGGTGTATATTATGTGTAATTTTTTAAATACCAACTAGATTCACTTTCCTATCAGAAAAGATACTATTTAAGAAAATCCAAACACTTTTACTGTCCTAAAAAGTGATGACAGACACAAAAAAAAATTAAAAAAATGAAAAAAAAACACACATCATTGTAAAATCAATATACATTCTTCGTTCCACTCAGAATCTAAAAAAAAATAAATGAAATAAATAAAAACTTGGTAAAGATTAATTTTATTATTTTATAATAATATAATATAATATTCTTAATTGGACATTAGTTAGCCCATTACTAACCTAACTGTAGGCATTTAAAAATATTATTAATGAGATTTAGCATGTGGCAAATTGTTTAGTAAATTTTTACCTAGACTTCGAACCTTCTGTTTTTTCCTTTGCTTGAAGTTTTGTTCTTTAGAAGACGGTCGTCCTGCTTGGATGCGTTTAGCACCAGAAGTTATTAGTCGTTTGCGCCTGGATCTGGATGTTGGCTGTGTTCCGATAAGATTTGCACGACGAAGCTTATTGAAATTAAAATCAACCAAATCAGATAATGATGTTATTTTTTCCAATTGTTTGTTAAACTGTTTTATATTTTTGAGCATCAAACTGTTAGGGTTACTTTGAGCAATGTTTTTTATTCGGTCGATGTTATTTTGTAATACATTGATTTCTAAATTTAAATGTTGTTCATAGCCATTATTTTCCATATTATTTTGCGTTTCATGTTCAGTTATTCTTGCATCAGCAGGTAACATAGAATTGAAAAAAGTTGACATGTTTTCTTCAGAAGTTTTTTTCTCCTTGGAATTATTAGTAGAAACGATATCATTTGCGAGGTCCATTGGTTCCATAAATGTATGATCCAAAGCAAGGTTACCTAATTCAATTCTATGTTTCATTGATAAATTCACAACATTTTCGATGTTAAATCCATTCAACTGTATGGCACAAATATGTTTACAAAATTTACCTCCTTGACCAAACGCACATTCACAGTGTTCAAATACATCATAAACTTTAACTGTATAATATATATCATTATTAGAATGGGATGACACTTCATAAGATGTGTTATCGATCTGAATAACTTTTAAAGCATTTGCTTTGTTACAAAATGAATTATATTGAATTTCTGGCTTTGTAATTCTATATGACGCAAATTTAATAAGACGTCTTTTATGATAATTTTCTAATACCTTAAATATAAAATCTACCAGTGCTGCCGCATTAAATGCCTTACAACGTTCCAGTACCACATCCTTAAAAATTCTTATAGATGATTCGATTATATTATTTGTGTTGTGACCGTAAGTTGAATATGTTTGTCGATAGCAAATTGCCCACTCGTTCATTCTGCATCTTAATGACTTCATATGTTTGGAAAATTGTTCATGGTCATCATTACATAATTCATCCATTCCTCTTTTAGCTTCTTCTTCATCATGAGAAAAAAGGACGGTTCTAAATTTAAGCATTTTAGCCTGCCTTTCAGATTTTTCTATTTGATGTTTACTCTCCCACAACCATCTCCACAAAGCCTGACAAACGTGAAATGCGCACAGTAGTAAAGTTGATGCTGGAAAAGCAGCTTTTAAAGCTTGCCGTTCTGCAGAACTATCGTCAGTCATAAATAATGATGGCTGTAATTGTCCATAAAATGCAATTTTACCTAGACATTTTTTTAATAAACTGAATGCTCGTAAGTAATCTTCTTTTGTTTGCTGCTTATGTATAACTACCCCTAAAGGAATGCCACCTACTTTTGACGCACCAAAAAAAAATGTTATGGTAGAGTTACCTTGATCACAACTGCTGCTAGAATCAACGAATACTATATCTTTCGAAAATGAATAACTATGAGCCCTTTTCATGATAGGAGTTACTATTGCGATTGTAAGTGGATTTTCTTCAATTTCAATAAATCCTCCATTTTCTTCAAACATCGACTTTTTTTCTAAAAGGACTTTGTATACTCCTGTATCACTTCTATCCCCAAAATGAGTTGACCTACATTAGAAGAAATAGGTAGGACAAGTAATTATAATGTTGATAATTATAACCTAATATAAATCAATAAAATATTTAGCATATAATTCTTCCTATATGATCCATAGACAATATTATATAATAAATGTAGCATAGCCGTCCTAAATAAGGGAGGGGGAGCAAATGGAGCAAGTGCCCTAGTGCGTACAAAGTATTACGAATTTAAAATACTATAAAACAAAAATGTTGTATTTTATTTCAGAGTATATGATGTTAGTATTAAGTACACAAATAAACAATTTGATCTGAGGTAGGTTCATTGATTATTCAGGTCTAGTTATGTATAACTCGTTGACTTTAAATATTGAAAAAAATATTTTTGATAATTTCACTTTAAAATCTAATAATATTAAGTACATTAAAATAATGGTTAAAAATTAGTTATTAAGCGAATTTGTGTAAATATTTATACTTTATTGTGTAACTTTAATAGAAGGTAATCTGTAAAATGTAGTTTTAGTGATATATGTTTTAGTCAACATGTAAAATTATATTTTATTCTCTCAATACTGATCAATGTATCGTAAATCATTTAGCCCACCACAAGCTTTGCTTTCTGGGTTAAATTATAATAATCTACCTATGTGGTAATATGTAATATATAATGTTGGTCTAATAAAAAAAAAGAAAAAGATAGGTAGGTAATAACTTTTTTTTTATACTGAAAAAATGCACTTATTTAAATTTGTGAATTACACGAAAATGTGTATGAAAGTTTGCAAATTCTTTTGTAATTAAAAATCAATAAAATGTTCAGTATTATTAAACCTAACACTTGAATATTTAACATAAATTAATAGTTTTCAAAACCGTCGAGAAAAACAAAAAAGTAAAATAAAAATCAAATAAATTGGTTCTACAGATTTGTATAATAAAAATATAATATTTAATTAGTATGTAGTGCACCTCACTCGTAGTAATTAACAGACGCAACAATAATACCAACTATTAATTTGAAATCCACACATATAAAAAAATACTTAAACTAAAAAAGCGGGTAAGTGGATGGGAAGTCTGCTGGGTTACTGTAATGGATGGTATTAAATTTGGTTTCATTTTATAATATTATCAATGTATACGAAAAACAATTCTGAGTGGAGATGGTTTGCCAGTCTAGGATATGTTGTAAGTACTATATTAATTATATTGTTATTATTAAAAAAAAAAAAAAAAAAAAAAAAATGTATATACTTATGGAATTAATTCCAAATTAATCAAATCAGATTCATAATTGATTTATTATTTACCCAAATAACCAACTCACTCAGTCATTCATAATAGGTATATACATTATACAATTTAAAGTACCCTCGATTAATAATTTTTATTACAGCAATATAGGTAAAATTGTTATTTTTGGTTATTTAATTGGTAATTCCATCCAAATTTGAACTAGTAACTAGAAAAAACACTGAGTTTGAATCGTTTTTAGATTTTTTTACAGCAGAAGAATAGACCTTGTTTTAAATTTTCAATTCATAGCTATAAAATTTAAACGTTTTATATATTTTTATCAACTGAAGAATTTGTAATCTTTCAATAAAATAAATTTTGTCAAAATTTGAACTTTAAATGGCTATAAAAAACGTGCTTATGTATTTTTAATATTTGCTTCATGTTTAATCAAATTGCTGTTATATAAACTTATGGGGAATCTTGTATTAAATTTTCAAGTTTTTTAACCAACGGATAAAATCTTATTGACATAAAAAAAAACTAAAAAAAATTGGAAATTTCAAATGTTTATAAATAGCTTAAAAAGATTTAAAATATTTCAAAAATTTTATCACGTATATAAAATGCCAGTATTTACATTTAGTGAAAATTTCATGTTTTTACGGTAATCTGTTTTAGAGTTACAACAATTAATGTTTGTGTGATTCATTAATTTAAATAAGTGCATTTTTTCATACAAATAATATGTTATAGATATAACTGATATAAGACAAGAAGATATTTAATTTTTACTAACCTCCATGTTTCAAATAGTTGATATATTTGGCGATCGATAGGATTGATTTGTGCATTAGCTAATTGTTTAATGCACTCCATATTATCCGTATCGTCAATAGAACTAGTGAGTTGTACTTCGTGATATGTTTTAGCAGCAGCAGGGGTCATTCCACCATTAAAATAGGTAATACAATTTTCGCGGACCTCCTCGCTTACTCTAAGGTAGCTATATGCTGTTTTAGATTAATTAGCCCTTGATTATGTAACTTCACTATGTAAGGTTCTTGTTCGCATTGACAAGTTATGGTCAATGTGTCACTAGTAGTAGTGTAAATCCATGTGTTGGCATATTTCAATTTATGATAAATATTTTTAGTAATTACTATAATTCCTGCCTCACAGTTACTAGGTAACTCATCCGGATTTTTGAATAACGAGACTTCACACGGTTGTCTAACCGATTCATGTTGTACGGGTTGAAACTCTGGACATATGATAAAAATCTCAGTTTCTGTACAGCTCAACAATTGAGTTTCAGTGAATGTTGTGAACTGTTTCCTATTTCTGGTTATTCCTACATACTGGAATTCGGGTTTTAAAATTACACTATGATGTGAATCAAATTTATGTGGAATAGGTATTATTTTGAACAAGGTTAATTCTAATTCGATTACTAGTGGAATTTTTATTAGAAAAACAATTTGGTTCCTACTATAGTACACGTCCATTTTAGTTATTTTACTTAATTCATAAATTTCATTTGGTTTTGACCCCACAGGCAAATTTAGATTAACAGGTAAATTTAATTTGATTTGAGTTAGCTGTTTAGCAAGTTCCCTAGGGGTTACTAGACTTGGGTGTAATATTCCTGTTCTGGCAGCTGTTATTATGGCACTTATAGTCGTGGTTTCGTAGGAAAATTGTGTGATTAATGCAGTGAAAATGTTATGTATTCTGTCACTGAGCATCATTGTTTCGATAGTGTATGTATGATTTTCTGCTGTTTTTAGTTTCTTATAGATTTCACCCTGTTTGTTTACTAGTTCCTCATATAATGTATTCATTTCAGTGGATGTGTTTCCTATTCCTTGTACTAAGGATTTAACTACAGTAGTTTGACTCTTTAAGATATGTAACATATTTTCATTGCTGGTTTCAATTTTTTCAATATTATTATTAATTTTTTTGGTGCAATCATCGTCACATACTCCAAATAACGTTTTCATAGCACTACCTATAATGTTTATGAGTCCCCGTCTATTCCTATCAACCGTGGACATTTTATTATCAGTGCCTACGTATCTACCAATAGATTCATACATTTGTTCTCGTTGCGTCGCTATTTCTTTGGAAGTGGTTTTTACTACATGTGCAAATCTTGTGCACACTTCATATTCAGATATTGTATCTTTACAATTATGTGACATATTACTAATTTCATTGAACAATTGATCATACCGTTTGTCATAATTAATTAAAGGTACATAAGTTACAAGTTCCCAATGTGCTCCTACAATCCTTAACTCGCCCTGATTTTCGAAAAATATGGCTGTCTCATTCTTAAATTCTTCATTTAAGTACGGAAGTTGCCCTTGAATGGTAGAAATGCATAACAACCTACATAAGAAATAATTCAAATTCATCATAACAATTTATTGTTATGGTTTCCTATACTTACATTAACTGCTCGTTACCTTCCGTTTTCATGACATTTGGTTACAGTTTTACTAAAGGTCATGTAACCATGTTCATGTCAACTTCTATGTAATTAACAACGACAGTAATTTGTACTATCTATAACTAATATATGTATAATTATATTCCCCATTAATTATATGTTTTACTTAATTCAATATCTCTATCTTAAATAATTACTTATGCATATCGTGAGTACAACCTTATCTATTCTTATGATTAATTTCTAGATATATGCTTACAAAGACCCTATATTGACTACAATAATTCGTCCAGTACAGTATACATTTTTGCGCAACATGGTTACAGTTTACTAAGGGTCGTGTAACCATGTTTCACAATAACTTCAAGTACTGGAGATTTTTGGAATATTTTTGTTTATACTTGTGCTTCCGCTAGGTCTATATCATCATATGATTTATATGAAGTAAGATTTATTGTATTTAAATAATTAAATCTATTTCTTTCTACCAATTTATAATACCGTGCTATGTTAATTGCTGATATAATCATGACAATTATTACTATTCCCATTATAATACTTAATATATATATATATATTTTGATTCTAACCCGTTTCTATTAGTTGGTTCATTGCATATTGTAGTTGACCCTATGGATTCTTTAGATTCTGTTACATCCCTTAGTTTATTAATTTCGGTATTTTCTTCAACAATTGTGGCATTCACGTGCGATTCCTTGACAGTGGTGACAACGTTGGATTGGGTGGTTGTTGTACTCAATTGCTTTGTGATATCCTTTTCATTTTGCATCTGAGTGGCTGTAGTAGGCGTAGTGATTATCGCATCTGATTTTAGTTGTTCTGGAGAGCTTGTTACCGTATGTTGAGTATTGTTTAACTGAGTGGTTGTTTCTAATTTGTCGGATAATGATTGTTTTCTGGTTTCCTTTTCTAGAGGTTCCATGTTGATTG